TGACTCCTCCTCTACCCTCTCCTGCTGCGGCTGCAGCTGCACCCGCTGCTGCGACCGGGACTCCTGCGCTACCCTCTCGTGCTGCTGCTGTGACTCCTCCTCTACTCTCTCCTGCTGCTGCTGCTGCTGCCGCTGCTGCTGCTGCTGCTGCTGCTGCTGCTGCTGCTGCTGCTGCTGCTGTGCCCTCTCAAATCGCTCACGCTCCTCCCTCTCCAACCGGAGGAGACGCTGCTCACGGGTCAGGAAACGTACAGTGCGCGGTGTAGGCGCCACAGTGCCAGTGCCTCCAGCTCCAGCACCCCCAGAACCAGCACCTCCACCACCGACACCCCCGGGGCCTCCAGTACCTCCCGCAGGAACACCCCCAGGCTCCGCAGCAACCGACCGCAGAGAAGAAGGAGGAGGAAACTGCGGGACGGACGGGAAGCCAGGGGGTGAGGCAGGGCGAGGCCGCCGAGTCGAGGCTGCCGTGTCCTCCACAGGAGTGACCTCCACGCCCACAACCCCTGCACCCCCAGAGCCGACACCACCAGCTCCTGCAGCCCCAGTACCCTCACCCTCCGCAACTGCACCTCCCGCACCCCCAGACACGACAGGGACTGGACGCTGCGGGGGGGAAGACTGCGGAGTGACGTGCGACACACCTGACGGGGCAGGACGCGAAGGGGGGGGGGCTACCGGGGCGACTGGTGGGGGCTCAAGGGTGAGGAACAGCGGGGGGGAAAAGGCCTCAGTACCTCGGTGGGGGCGACTCCTGTAGTAACAGACAGACTCGTCGAACGTGACGTCCTGCGAAGCAAAGAACTGGTAGGTGACCGGGTCGTAGAACACCCAGCCGGAGGCGTCCAAAGGGAAGCCAAGAAAGACGCAGACACGAGTGCGCGGAGACAACTTGTTCGCGCCAGGGGCGCGAACGTGAGCCAGACAACCCCAGACGCGGAAGTCAGCTGCTACGCCCGGAGAACCTGTCCAAAGGGAGACCGGCGTCACCCTTGGCCGTGCGTCACTGGGCCACAGGTTCAGCTGGTGCGCGGCGTAGCGGACTGCCTGGGGCCACAAGAACTGGGGGGCACCGGCATGGCACATGGAGGTCCGGGCAACCTCCATGACCAGGCCGATGCGTCGCTCGGCTACCCCGTTCTGCTGCGGTGATGCTGGTAGCGTGTAAGACTGGATGATCCCCCGACCCTGACAGAACGTCTCCAGGCGAGTGGAAGAAAACTCACCACCACGGTCCGAGTGTAGGCGAAGCCCACACAGGCCCTGGGCGCCACCCCACGCTAGTAGCCACGGCTCGAGGACGGTAGGCACGTCGGCCTTCCGTCGCAAGGGGAAAACCGTGGTGTAGCGGGAGTAGTCGTCCACCACAATCAGGAAGTAGCGCTCCTGACGTGGGCCAAGGACCGGAGAGGGGCCCCAGACGTCCAAGTGCAGGGTCTCGAAGGGAGCCGTGGTGGGGGGGAACGAGGAGGAGTGAGGGGCAGCGCGCTGCCGACCCTCGACGCAAGGAGTGCACAGCGGCGCAGGCGAGCGGGGAAGCGGTGCAAGCGACCCTGGGAGACCTGAGACCAGACGGTAACGTGCCATCCTACTGAGACGCGGGAACGACGGGTGACCTAGACGGTGGTGCCAGAGGACCGACGGGTGGGTGAGGGACCGACAGTCACACGACACAGCAGCTACCTGACCTGACCTGACCTGACCCGACTCAGTGTGGTGGGACCCAGTGTGTAGTGAGTACAGACCAGATCCCGGCTCTCTGTGGAATGTGGCCAGGGGCGCCCCAGTGGCACCGACAGTGCAGGAGGCAACAGGCTCGTCCAGTGGGAAAGTAGTGACTACGCCTAGGTCGTGAAGGTGACTGACACCCACCAGGTTCCTAGAGAACGAGGGGGTGTAGTAACCTGTAAGAAAACCTGAGGGAGCCGCCGGACACGGAAGAGTGGTGGTGCTGCTAGCAACTACACGTCCCACAGAGGGGTCAGCCAAGGCGACAGTGACTGGAGTGCGCAGTGGTGTGAGGTCGGTACAGTCGCGAAAGAAACAGCTGGACGCTCCAGAATCTAGGGTGAAGGAAAGCTGTGCAGTCTGTGGGGTCGCACCCGAACCAGCTACAAAGGCTAGTGCTAGACTAGTGGTAGCTGCAGCTTCTACACAAAGACCCTCAGAGGCGCCGGGACTGGAAACAACACACGCACCAAGACTGGAAACACAGGTCTCTACTCGTGCAGCCGGAAAGGGTCCTAGACCAGGCAGGTGAGACTCAACTGGTGCAGTAGTGCGCTGGCAAAGGCGCGAAGGCCAGTGCGGTGTAATAGCGTGAGGACCAAAACGCTCACGGTGGAGGTCGTCGAGTCGACGGTAGCAGCTGGACGCAGTGTGGTCAGGACTCCAGCAGGTAGTGCCAGCACCAGGGCCTGTCAGGGCCCGGTACCCGCAGGGGCCGACGTCTCGCCCACTGCTAGCTGAGCCACTGCTGGGGGCGCCACACTTTGGACCC